ACGCCTCTTGCCATGGAAACCAACAAAAACTTCTACAAAGCAAAATTCAGAGACAAATAGCAATGAAGTTAACTTTACAGAATTTGGTAGACTTTGATATATTTATGGATGCATGTGAAAATGGTCATTTGGTTGAAATGATAATAAAACATTTGGTAAAGGCGGCAACAAATTCTTTGTTAAATAATTATTAAAAAAATTAACAATGTGCCTAAGCCTGTAGTTAAAAGGCCCAATTACAAACGGTTCCAAACAAAATTTGAATTTTTCTCTGCTTCAGAAAATGTATGTATCTCAATATATCTGCATGCATCAAAAGTTATGAAATTCTGTATTTCATTTATTTTTTACAAAAGGTATTTATTATGTATTCCACATTATTTACATGTATAGTGCAGTATCAATGCAATTTTTTATATGTGTTGTCATGATTTTTTATTATGTTTTAATTTAAATTTAATTAGTTCATATATATATGCTAAAAATCATAAAATTGTCTTTATGCCCCCTTTGCATATATATTATTTTCAATTTTATATTTTGTATAGCAGTATATCGAAGCAAGGTTTTTGTAAAGAAATCGAATCATACATACATATGCATATTGCCATACATACATATACGTATACATGTATATTTAAATTAATAAAAAGAAAAACTGTCTAATGAAAAAAAGGCTTTTTCATGTTTTCCCAGCTGAAGAATGGATTAATTGTGCTTTTTTCATTACACAGCATTGCTTCTTTGTGCTATCTTTAGAAGTAATTTAAATTGTAGTCTTTATTAAATATCATACCATACTTTTTTATTTGATGAAATGCAATGTATGATTTAGAAAAAGAATGTTTATCGTTCGAAGTTTATAGACAGTTTTGAATAATTCTGAATTGATTGTAAAGACAATTTCGATTATTTTCTTCTTTCTCTTCTCTTCCTTTATTGGAATAATCCTTCCTCTTTGAATTAACTGAATGGAAAATAAGCATGTACATATTATCTAAAGTATTTCTGTGTAAATTGCTTGTGCATCTTGAGGGCATTATATTTTAGTAGTTTTATTCGATAGTAATAATGCCATAATAATTTTCTTTTTTCTTCGTTGTGTTCAATATTGCAGTCAGTTTAGGTACTTTTATATTTACATTTCACATAATACTTTTAAATCATGTTATAAAATATACCCGTAGAGATCAGAGTTTGCCATTTAGGATCCGTACCAAACCTGTATCAGCGGTTTGCTATTCGCTGTTTAGAATGCAAAATAATATATAATTCTCTCTGTGCAATTAATGTCTCATAATTATGAAAACATATTTAATTCGTTGCAAGCTTATTGTTATTTTTTCAGATATGAATATTTATTAGTATTATTATTATTACTGTTAGTAGGCAACATATGTCAAAAATAAGACATATTGTTTATACTTAGCAAATATGTTTATTAGTCAAGACATAAATCGTGGTAAGTGTAATTACTAAGAACCTTGCCTAACAAACATCTTTGATTAATTATATTTGTCTTCAATTAATGATTTTATGTTGTTACAGGATTCCAGCTAAACTATCTTCCTAATTTAAATGAGTTAGGATTTATCTTCATTTTTTACGATCTGTATCTATATCTTGCCTTCACGTCTTAAATCATCTTTCTGTTTAATTATTGCTTGCATATTAAATTCTGATTCATAAAGTGTGAAGTTTCTTTCATTAACAAGAGTTTCTCAGCGATTAAATTTGGTAAAATCAGTAATGATAACTTCTAATGGAATTAAAAATTCTATTCATTCGTATCAAAAACATTCTTAAAATAAATATCTCGGCTCTTCACATTCGAATGAAAACAAGGCATTTTCCAGAAACTATGAGAATTAAATATGAAAATTTAAATTCAATTTGTTCTATTAAATGGATATTTAAGAAGGCAAATATACGCATCCTTAAAATTAGCGAGGGCGAAAGTATCCCTACTATAATGACGTCACGAACTGTGCGCCGAGCCATGAGTTAAGTTCTAGGGATTGTTGGTCATACTCGCCCGCTATTGTGCCCTCAGATATTTACTCGTTTTGCTGTCTTCAAAAAATTTTTAGTGGTATAACATTCAATGAAGGTAAAGATCAAGTCAGATTCAGATAAATCATCGCTTATAAAGCTAGGTTCTTTCGTGAATGAGGAATTCCGAAGCTTGTTAAATGAAAATGAAAACTTATCGAACAAAAAGAGTAATATACTATTGACTGATCATTGTTTTTTTACATAAATAAAGGACCTTTAAAGAACATAGAAAAAAATGCTTCATGACTTTTCAGACAATCTGAGAGTTTAATCAGTGCTAACTTCAGATTTAAAATTAGGTTATTTTTGATTTTATGTTATGTTCCTTGCTATAATATTATCGAGCGTAAACGCTTTAGGCAAAAAGGCACTACATTTTCTACAGTTTATTATAAACTTCGGAAGAGAAATACAACAAAAGCACAAGAAACAGATGATTATTAGTCTAACGTTGAATTATCCGAAACGAAAATTAAGAAGCTTGGAAAAGATGAGTAATAAAAACGAAATCTTTGTTATAAAATATTTCTGTTCTTTCTGCTGTCAAAAGGGCACTACATTTCCTACAGTTTATTATAAACTTCGGAAGAGAAATACAACAAAAGCACAAGAAACAGATGATTATTAGTCTAACGTTGAATTATCCGAAACGAAAATTAAGAAGCTTGGAAAAGATGAGTAATAAAAACGAAATCTTTGTTATAAAATATTCCTGTTCTTTCTGCTGTCAAAGGGCACTACATTTCTACAGTTATTATAAACTTCGGAAGAGAAATACAACAAAAGCACAAGAAACAGATGATTATTAGTCTAACGTTGAATTATCCGAAACGAAAATTAAGAAGCTTGGAAAAGATGAGTAATAAAAACGAAATCTTTGTTATAAAATATTCCTGTTCTTTCTGCTGTCAAAAGGGCACTACATTTCCTACAGTTTATTATAAACTTCGGAAGAGAAATACAACAAAAGCACAAGAAACAGATGATTATTAGTCTAACGTTGAATTATCCGAAACGAAAATTAAGAAGCTTGGAAAAGATGAGTAATAAAAACGAAATCTTTGTTATAAAATATTCCTGTTCTTTCTGCTGTCAAAAGGGCACTACATTTCCTACAGTTTATTATAAACTTCGGAAGAGAAATACAACAAAAGCACAAGAAACAATGATTATTAGTCTAACGTGAATTATCCGAAACGAAAATAAAAGCTGGAAAAGGAGTAATAAAAACGAAATCTTTGTTATAAAATATTCCTGTTCTTTCTGCTGTTAAAATATACTCTATTCAGATATAAAAATGTAGTCAGACAAACCCTAAATTGAAATGCAGATACCTCTTACTGAAACTAAACAATTCATAAAAGTCAACTTCCACTATATTAATACATGTTATTTTCTCCTTCCTTCCAGCATACCTTCGTGGTGTAATGGTAACACACTCGACGCATATTCGAGAGTTCTAGGTTCGAGTCCCAGCGAGGGCATTGTACATTTTCATATATCCTGCTTCAAAAAATCCTGATGACTCTACAGTGGCGCCCGAACTAAAATGTGGTGGACAATAATTCGCCACCACTAGGATTTGATAATTGGGTCCCCTAATCCCAGTCGCCCTTATAAAGGGGAAGTATGTAAGGTATTTTCTCCCTCCTTTCTGCATGCGTGGTGTAAACGAAAGCACACTCGGTGCGCATTTGAGAGGTCTAGGGATTAGGGATTAGTGGACCTAGTCACCAAATCCGTAGGTGGCGAATTATCGTCCATTACCATTTAGTTCGGGAGCCATTTTCAGAGTCTGGCTCCCTTTGGGAGTATAAACTAATTCCAGTCTCTTTACAGATGTAATGCGAATTATTGCTGTGTCTGAAAAACTGCAGAGACTTGAAAATGTTTAAACAACCTTTTTATTAAAACATAATTTTTTAACATAAACTCCCTTCTTGCGCCAACAGAATCAATCACTTACATCATCACTTATGGTGATGTAAGTCATATTCAAATTTCAAATGTAGACTAGACGTCAAAGTCTATACAAATCTATCCAAAATCTTTAACCACCGTAACTAATTTAAATGTTTGTAGCAATAAAACAAAGACGAATAATTACAAACTTATCAGAGCTGGCTGGTGATTGAGATTGAACAAATCAGAGTTCATGGTTTGTAAAAAACGAACGAGGCTGAGTCCACAACAGTTTACTCAATGCCAGTTTTCTCAAATAAGTTCATTAAAGGTTTTTCTTCTTAAAATAAACAAATCTTCGATTTTTCTTAATTTCTTGGAGAAATATTAGCATTCCGTGTTTGGCGTTTTATCTATGTTTAGCTTCTGAAATAATCTTGTCATCTCTATATTTTGATTTACAATGCTTCTGTATATAATTTCATCTGTTACTCAAATACTTTAAAAACTATATTAAGAAAGTGAATCTCAAAATTTAAGAATTTTATTCAAGTATTTTATTTCCTAAATTTGTATTTGTATCGCTTAGTATATAAAACGTACTTTTTAAAGCTATGTTTTTAACTTGTTTTTTATTAAAGAAATTTATAAAGGCAGATTTCAAATAACTTTGTTTTAATTAATAGTTATTAGAAATAAGTAAAGCTTTTATTATTATTATTATTATGTTAAGAGAAACCCAAAATTCGGTTAAAGGTTTTAGAAAATCTAGAATTTGTCCCACTTGTAAATACAAGTAAAGCATTGTCTTATTTTCTTATTTAAAGTTAACCTGACACCAATAACTACTCCCATCATAAAAATCGTAAAATATATTACCTAAACCGTCCCTCCCAAAATATTTTGTTTACGGTCTAAAAAAATTGTTTTCGTTTCAACTGAATTGTATCATATTAAGCGCTAGCTTGAATCAGATCATGCATTTGGCGGAAAACATGGAAAAAAGCGAACGAACGGCCTTGACCATAAAAACGGACAGAAGAATTTTATTGGACGAGAACAAAACACACTCCGCCATCTTGAATCATCGATGCTGCTAGCGGCTGAACAAAATGAGAACTTGTGCATTAAACTATTCTCAAAGAGACAGAACGAGAGGAGCTACTTTGTTGCGGCTGTTTCTACCTCAGCTGTCTACCGTAAGTGAAGTGTTCCCTCTCTCTCGATATTACTCAAGCGTACATAAGTCGTTTAATTATTCTCTTCGAAGAACTCTTAAGTTATTCAGTATTCATCTGTGATAGATTTTTTTTTTTTTTTTTGTTATTAACAGGACTTTGTTTAAACATGAGCTAAACAATGTATAACAGCCTAAGTAGCGAAATGGATTTCCGAGAAAACAGTCAATTTTTACTTATAAATATTTATGAATTTATATATTCTATTTATTTTAAACTTATTATTTATGTTTTACGTAATAACTACAGAGTTGCTTTATACAGGAATTAGGAAGAGTGTTTTATATTTACTACTATTTTCAGCGTAGAACTTCTCAGATCTTAACCATTTAACTGGTCTAATGAAAACAGTTTTCGAATTTTTTTAGTAAGGGGAGGTTTCAATCCTAAAACCTCATGAATAAATTTATAGTTGATAATAAATAAAATTAAATAATACTTACGTCAAATTTCTATACAACATCGAACTAAATGTATTATATAAACAATTATCTGTGAGTATATTCATATTCTATTTAAGAAATCATAGAAGTTGTCACCATGATTTTATATTAAGATAAGATACACATTTTAACATAAGTCTTACAATAAATAATAAAGATACCGAAATATTCCAAACAATTCTGAGGTAAACAAAATTATTATCCTTATCTGTATTGTACCATTAAAGAAGGAAAATAGTCTTCCAATTTCAGTAATGCAGATTCTAGGATTATTGCTTTCAAGGTGTGCTTAAACGTGGGCATAACTGAAAGGTGAATTCTGGAAGTTTTACTGGAATGTTCCAAATTAATGTATTATTGTCTTCCTTTTATAAATATTTTTAACTTTTTAAGAATTATCTGGTTTAGATATTAATCTTTTAATGAAATTGCTGCTGTAAAGTAATTATTAATATAATTTAAACAACTGATTTAGTGAACATAAAAGATTGTTGAAACAATTCAAAGAAATCTCCTATTTTTAGGGCAAACTCTTATTTATTCCAGTTTTCAAACTTTTTGCCATAGTAATCGTTTTAAATTTTTACGTCATTAATATTAATAAGATACATGGAAGCAAGTAGAATAAAAAAGTATTTAAATTTCTGTATAAATAAAAGGTTAGAAAACTAAAATTTTTAAATTGTACAATTACTAATAAATTTTTAAATATTTTAGCTTTTTTCTTTAAACTGTTAAATTTTATGAGGAGGAGACAAATAATATTACCAAAACAAAACTGTGTGCGAATTTTGTGCTAGATGCATGTTTCGTTTTACCCTATATACAGCTTCTTAAACAGCTTCTGTTACAACATCTTAAATCCAACGAAGTAATCTTTAATTACTTATTAAAGCAATCTACATCAATTCTTAAAAATATATTAATTTTAAGAGCTATATTTTTATTCCCTGACACTTATGAGGTAAACAGAAATATTACTGAAAGGTATTTTTAACTTAAACTGTTATCTGTATGTTCTTTTTTTCCTTTGTGTGGTCCACTGCTATTTAGCTATTTACTGAGTCCAGTAATGCAAATACATAAACAGACAGACAATTAGATAAATGCAAGATAAAGTTTTAATTTCCCCTATAATATTTTTAATCGGTTATTTCCTCTTTCTATCCTAATAATACCAATATGCTCATAACAAATTTTGCTGAGATCTGTCATTTCTAATTCAACTCACGTCACATGATTCTTGTCTTTACATAAATCTAACAAAGTATACACTTTCATAATGGAAAAGTGAAGATAACATATTTTATTAATTTAAAGTTAAATGGAAACCTTCACTAAACCAATAGCAATAAAGAGATAACATCTTCTTATTAAGAAATATGGCAATTTCACTGTTTTTAATCTAATATTAATCGCATTATCTTCGCTCTTCTCATGCTTATTTCAGTTTCGATAACATATCTGCTGCTTCCCACTTCATCACCAGGTGTAATGTTATGAATATGTAAAGTTACGCTTGTAATAATGCAATACCAAGCTCGCGCCTTGTTCCACTCCTTAGCTATGCATATGTTCAAGTATGTTAGGCCCAGAATAGAAAAGTGTACCGACAGTTTTCTTTAAAAGACAGAGACATTATAGTTCGTTTATTTGATTATGGCAATGAAACGAAGGGTTGTCCGCTTAAAGGGAGAGATACCTTCGTTAAAGGACAGAGAAATATTTATAATTATGAATATATCTTTTATCTTTAGGTTTTTAGAAATAGTAAATTTTAGTGAGCCTATTGAAGCTGTTATATAATTCTTAAGTGCTATAAGTACAAGATGGCGAAATGTATACATGACTTATATTTAATATAACTGAGAAAATACTTTTTTTTTTTTGGATCAAACAGAATATAAAACCCGATATCAGAAACATCTTTGCCTCTTGTTGACGCCCCTAAAATCTTTGCATGCTACATGATAGTTTTCATTATATTTTAATTCGGATGCATGTCTGAAACAAAAGCTTATAGTATTACTTTCCAGCAACTCAACAATCTGTAATATATTATTATGCATTTCACTACTTTTTTCGCTTAAATAATACCGCAGTGAAGTTGTTTTGATGTCTTCTTTCGTTTCTGGTTGAAGCTTCTGCCGATATGCAATAATTTTGCACATCGGCAGATGTTTTTGTTTTTTCAAAATATGTTTTTTTTCCAAATTTGTTTTTCAAAATATCATGTTGAATAACTACAACGAATGCCACATCGAAAACTAGATTTAAGATGGAGAGTCTATAAGCTCTGTGTTACATTCTGAAATATTTATAGTAATGATTATATAGTTCAAGTGTCGATAGTGTATCACTAATAAAACTTATTGATCGTGTCGTATGAAATGGATGAATTTCAAAACAGTTTAAATTGTTTTTTTACAATTTTCTTGTTGAATTCAAACATAATTTAAATCCGGAGATACTAGAAAAATCCTAAATCTAGAGAAAAAAAGGAATGTTTTACTTCTTTATGTATTACTTTCTATTTTCTTTTAAAATATTAACTCAATTTTAACCCCAGTATTTGCTCGTAAAACGTTTCGAGAAATTTAAATATTTGTAAAGTTTGCTCGTTTAAAATATCGAACTAATGATGATTCCGATTAACAGAAGTTTGATGTGTGATATTTGCATTGAATTTAAAAGTTTAGTATTTAGCTATAACAATAATACTCAAAAAGATCTTTGCTGTGCACATTGCTTTAGTAAAAGAATCTTTGTAAATGATGAAATCTTATAAGTTTCCTGTATTTGTTTCAGTACCGGTGATATTGTTTTATTCTTAGATATAAGTCTTCTAAACTATTGTTTCTTTAATAAAGAAGAGAAATTTGCATAGAATAAGATAAAGTGTTAAAAGTTTGCAAAATATAACCAGTGTATTTCTCAGATTCACTATCTCAAAAAGGAAAAACAAAATAATCAAATATCCTTCTTAAAATTTGTCAGTTTGCAACACGCCACGATTCTTTAAATTGATTCCATCTTTAAATTGATCTGTAAAATTTACTCGTATATAATTACGCAAAATATTTGCACAGGACAAGTGTTGGTAGATTGGTTGATTATTTGATTATGACAGAATGTGCGAGAAGTATCTACTCGAAGAAAGATGTCATCGTGGAGAACATTCTGAGGAAAACGGACTCATATTCATGTTATAAATGAGGGGAGAGAGAATATGTTATGTTACACGCAGGTCGTTTTTATGTTAAATCATTTCTTACATTCATGTATATAAACTCAGCTTTTATTGTGAAATCAAATAATAATTGCTTTCAATTAAATTTCTTGTAGAATGTTTCATGAAAAGAGAAACATTAAACAAAATGAAGCAAATGATTTAAGTATTATGAAGCATTGCTGAGTCGTTTAATATAGTGAGTATTAAGCAACAGTCATAGACACATGGAGAAAAATGTCAGTATTCATTCATTTTTCAAGGTCGTTTAAAGCTGTACAATCTGTGAAGCTGTGTCGGTGCAGGGTAGTGAATTGTATTCATTTATTAATTCAATGTATCTTGGAATAAATCATATAGAAATTTTCTAACTTTTCTAAAAGGTTTTAAAACGAAGAAAATTAGAAATAAATTTTGAAATCATTTGTATGTTATTCTAATTTTAATACCCTTAGTTTTATTTGCTGTTATCTAGTACTTACTTGGTAAACATCTCATTAAGAATCTTATTTTATTATTTTTTTATTGTACCCTATATCTTGACTTAATTATGAGAAGACACATTACATTTGTAATACTAAAATAAACAAAAGAAAAGTTCATGACTTTGGAAACAATTAACAAGTGCCGTGTAACTGAGAGGTAAAGCCATTAAAAACTAATTTAGTGATCGTGAGTACCTCTAGTCTTTGTATCTCTCATTTGATTTCAGCTGCACTCAAATGATTATTAGATGAGCACATGGAAGTAACATTCCCACCGTAACAATGGGAATACATCCACTAAAAATCATTAAAATCGAAATCGAATCTAGTTATTCACAAGGAATTTTGTTTATTATTTTTTATTAAATGTGTTTAGAAATCAGTTGAAACTTAAGATTTAGAGTACGTTTTGTTATATATTGATCGGTGCTTTAGTTGCAAATATTCTTAAGGCAACTACAAGAATGCAGAAATAATTCTTATCTGTGATTGGTAAATCGCAAATCAAAATCATCCGTAATCAATCCCATAAATCAAGGCCCAAACCACAAAACTGCCGTTTCTTTTTTTTCGGAGAGGGGGGGGGTACTTTTATTGCATAAACTTTACGAGATTAAATCAAAGTTTTATTTCTGTATTTCTCTAAACTTGCCCAAACATGATTGATTTTATTTTGAGGAATATTATATTAACTATAATTCTACCCTAAAGCATTTAACAGCAATAAGGTATTTCTTATTTGCATAAACTTTACGAGATTAAATCAAAGTTTTATTTCTGTATTTCTCTAAACTTGCCCAAACA